TCAACTCTTTTTATTTTACTATTATTAATATTTAAAGTTATACATTTTTTTCGATTTTTACTATTCTAACTATTTTTATTTTGGTTGATTTTTTCCTCATTTTTCTTTTTAAATTTAATTACAAAATTTTCAAACCTATCATTCCATTTTTAATATTTGCACATGTATATATCAATATTTCATATCTTATTCAATTATGTAACTAAACACTAGATTTGATTATAAATTATCAATTATCAATAAAACAGTAACATTGAACTTCAATTTATTAATTTAGATTATTTTCATCCATCTTCATTATGTTGACATTTCTATCGACATTGACATTTTCATAAGTTACTAATATTTTTAGATATGATGGTTAGAAATGATCAGTTATATCTTAATTAAGCTACAATTAAAATTTTATTTACTAATTAAAACAATTTTTATTAATTTTTACAATTTTCGTGACTTTTCCTTAAATATCTGTCGACATCGACATATCCGTAAAATCAAGACCTCAACATTTTCATCGACATCGACATTTCGAACCTTAAAAGCAGCTAATTCGCTCTCCTACCATTCAGAAATTTCTGTCCGTTACTCTTTCTGCCCTGGAATCTGTCGCCTTGTGTCACCTAGACATTCGTCACTCTCCTGACCTTCGTCGGAATGTTGTGGTCTTTCTTTCGAATTCATGTCGACTTATTTCTCTCAAGATCTATCTTGGATTTTGTTGATTCGCTTCACCCTAGACCTCCTCGGATCTGAGCAGTTCTCGATCAACTCGTTGTTGATCGTTTTGACTTTTAGATCGATTTTGTTGAGATCACCTCGGATCCAAGCAGTTCTCGGTCAACTTGTTGTTGATTGTCTTGACTTTTAGACCTTAATCGTCTCCACAGGCGGCGCCAATTGTTGATGCAGAAATTTGGCCTCCTAGGACCTCGTCAAATTCGCACCAATCTTCTAGAATAAAAGGGACCAATGAAACCTGCAAAACAGATAGCACTAAGACCGGTGTGGCTTTAGCCGCACGGGCTCCGATTCTTAAGTTAGAATCGGAGTAGTTGAGTATAAATTGTATGGTATTGTGAGCATACCTCTAGGGTTTGGTTCACCCTCTTATTTATATAAGTCGAATTCTAATCTCTTTAGGATTTACAGAAGTCAAATCTTCATACATCTAGGAAATCTAGAAATCTGAGCCCGTTCGTTTCATTGTGGGCTTAAGGTCAAATCAAGAGTCGAGGTGGAAAAATTCGGGATGAACCGTTAGGATTCTCGACCGGGGGCCGAGAATTGCTCCGCGCCAAGAAGTTCTCAATGTCGAGGCCTGGTCGGTCGGGGGCCGGCTTGAGTCGCTAGATGTCAGCCCCCTTTCCTGGTTCGTGCCCATTTCTTAGCTTTCTTTTGATCTCCTGTCGCATAGCTTGATCTCGCTTATTTCCCTACAACGGAATGCATGAATTCTTTTATTGAACTCTGCTTGAGTAGATATGATACCTATGAATTATAATGTTAATACACGTCATCGGATAGATAAATAAATAAGTAATACGTTTATATTATCTGTTTTGAAATAATTTATTAAAAAAAGTTAACAATAACAATTATTACAATTTTTATATTAAATTATAAGTTGAAATAGAAGGTTTGAAAATTTAAAATTTAAATTGGTTTTAAATATATCTTCGTTATTTTTCTCTCTTCTTATCATTTTTCAACGTTCAACGAAGTGAAGGAAGAAGATTTCCTTTTTCTGATACACAGTTAACACTGAATATCATTTAAAAAATAATTAAAATGTTAAATGTGAGAACGAAAGTTACAATTTAATATTCTAAATCTTTTACTAATAAGAAAAGTACTTTGAAAAACATCATTATTTTTTATATTTCTTATTAGCGTAGGTATTGAATCATGCACCAATTATATATTTTATATACTGAAATTTTAGTTCTTTTATTATTAGTAGTTGTTGAAGATCATGCACATATAATATGTCAAAAAAAAAAGGAAAAAGAAAAAAGATCGTGTGCATATAATTTAAAATTGTATAATTCTTTTTTTGAAAAAAAAAATAACTGATTGATGGATTGCAAATTAGTAAACTCTCTTTGAAATGATATTTATTTTATTGTTCATGTTAGTAGTAACTTCTTTGAGTTCTTCTGCAAGACGAAAATTTAAAAATGCAATATTGATTTTTAAAATGTTCTCATGAAGGTTGAGTTTGAAATATCTTTTAATTTAAGAACTACTTTTTTTCCTTTGTGAGTACATCTCTTAAATGTTTAAACTACGAGTGTGTGAATGTTTAAACGACAGTAAACTGAAATTATTTATGTGAAAGTATTGATAAAATCCTAAAATTAAATGTTAATTAAGATATAAATTACAATAACTAATAGAGTTTAATGTGTTTTTGTTTACAAATGCGGAAGTGAGGAATCGAACTTAATAACCTATTGATTTAAGATATATATCAATACCGAGCTATGCTCGGCTAGGATTAAGGTTTGATTTGGATGGAAACAAACCACGTAAATAGGACTTAATTTTATGGCAGTTGAGGTCATGGACAGCTTGTGACAAAAATGAATATACGTTGATTAATTACCCCATTAAAACCATATCATATGATATGATATCACCTCTTTTCTTTTCTTTTGGGTATAAATGCATTTAATACAAAGACGAAAACCAATGAGAATTATTATTATTGCTCCTAAAAAAAGGAATTATTATTATTTGGTGCAAATATTCAAATACGCAATTACTATTTCAAATGTTTTTTTCTTTTTGGGGGAGGAAATCTTTGATACATAAAAGTCAAAAGTGAAAATTGACTGATATTTATTTTAGAAATAATATGTTGTAATTGATTAGTAAGATAGGAAATTTCAATTAGAAGTAGTTAACTCGAACACGTCGATTAATGATAGATAATCGATTTTTTTTTTACAAGGGTAATATATTAAACTAATTAAGTTTAGGAAAATTTGCGATTTGCAAAACTAAATTATAAGTATGGTTAATTATGTCATGTTAACTAATCTTGCATTTCAAGAATTAAGAAGTTATTACGATTATGCTGTTTTAATAAATATAATATTTCCTTTCCAAAAAAAAAAAAGTTATTACAATTAGACTCAAATATTAACAAAATTATATCATTAAGGTTTATTTATAATAATTTTATAAGTTATAGGTATAACTGCAACAACTAAATAGATTAAGGGTGGCGATTTAATATTTAATTAAACTACTTTTTATAGTTCAAAAACTAATTTTTCTACTCTTTTTATTGTTAAAATGCACGCTAATTACCTCACAAGTTTAGAGGATAATTACAAAAAATGATACTAATTGACTTTTTTTTTTTTTTCCTTTTTGCATCCATCACGAGTGAGCTGTGAAAGTCTAGATTCTAGAATATATATATATATATATATATATTTTGAGTACCTATTCAATTGATTTTGAACTTAATTTGTAAGTAACTTCCCATTTTTGCAACAGATTTTTTAATAAATAACTTCCCATCGATTTTGAAATTAAAAAAAGTGTGTTTGGATGAGGAGATATTTTGAAAATATTTGATATAACACCATATAATATTAAATAATCATATCTCTTATTACTTTTTTTTTTTTGGTTAGTCTAATAATTAGTTCTTTCAATGGTTCAACAACTAAGATTTAGATTCATAATTGTCATAATACTGCTTTCTGGATTACATAATTAATTAATAAGTGAATTCTCTTCTTGAGCCATAAAATTTGATTTTCATGTTCTCTTATATACCTAACCGCTCAATGATAAAATAAAAAGGTGGGTATTTATGGAATTAAAAAAATATATTAATTATATTATTTTACAAAATTAATAGCTTAATAATTTCAGTTACAGTCACAGTTAAAAACATCACATATAATTAAGTTAATGATGAAAGAGGGATTCGATTTAGATATGAACAATTTTATTTGTCATAAGTTTTAAAAGTTCTTTTTTTTTTTTTGAGTAAACATAAGTTTAAAAGTTTAAGTCTATCAAATCATTTTTTTTATCTTCTTATTAAACTTGTTTTCCATTAATATTTCTCTCCAACAAAATTCAAATTCTCATTGATTTGGTAGCGTTGATTTAATTTTTAGTTTTCTCATTGATTCACTAGGTGCAATTAAAATTTGGTAACATATGATAAATATGTTAATGAATTTATTTTCATAGGATTATTATTAATTAAGGTAAAAAGGGATTTGTTTTCCTAAAATGTTATAGTCTCGTTTCCACGTAGTTAAAATGGTTTTATGCGCTGACAATTATCAAAATAATTACAAAATTATACTACATCTTTATGAAAAAATTATACTAATAAATTAGATAAACTTTGTTAGAATTTGTCAAATAAACTTTCAAGTAAAAACCTCTTTAAACATATTTAGAATATAAATATAATTTTATGTTGATTTATTAAGACGATGTGTCTTTACAATAATATAATATTATTTATCTTGGACCTAACTCTCACATTGTTTTAGTTTTAAATTCTATCTAAAAAAATCTCATACCAAATAAAAGTTTATTTTTCTATGCTTGAGATATTTTTCGGTTCTAATAGAAAAATGAAAATCTAATATAGTTGACTTAAAAAAAACATTAAACAGATAAAGAATTATTTAAATGTTGATATTTTTTTTATAATTTTACCCAATTCCTTATCTTACAAGTAGAGCATTATTTAACATCCTTATCTTGTAACCAAAATGGTGTGAGAACACAAAGACGATTTGAAGAATGTTTTATTTTAAGTGAAAAATTGACAAAAACCCAACTTTCTTTTGAGAAAAATATGCAAATATTACCTTTTTTAAGGAAAAAAAAATCCCAAAAACAATGGAAACTTCCATCTTTTAAATAAAAACAAGATTAGACAAAAATAAATAAATAAATAAAATCCCATTACTTTGTTTCTGACTATAAATCAGTGGGATGAATTTGAAAAAGAATTAAGAAATGAAACTCATAGCCCACAGGAAGGAGAGAGTCATCAAGAACATCTTCTTCAGGAGGGTACAAAATCCAAAATCCAAAATCCAAAATTCAAATCCGCCATGGCTGCGACCTCCAACCAAGACCCACTTCCCCCTCCCTTCGTAGACACAGTGAACGAGCTGACAAGAATTTTCCGATCACTTCCGGCGAGACCCTCCATTGAAGAGGTCGAAGCAGCCATGGCGATTCTCGATACCGTTCAGAACGACGAGGATTTCAAATTGGGGGAGATTTCGAAGCAGCGAGTTCCCGAAAATGTCCCCGAAGAGCTCTTCTCCGTCCTGCAGCAGATGAGGAAGACGATGGTGTTGTTCGAGAGCCACGAACAGAGGCGAGAGGCCATTCGCTTGATCGAGCTAGATAAGATGCTGCGGACCTTCGATGAACTCATTCAGAGAGCTTCTGAACTGGTTTCTGGTGATTCCCAGAGGCAGAGCCCTCTGAATTTGGGCGATCCAGTTCAGAAAATTGAAAAAGTTTCTGTAAGTAGTGACCAGAATTTGGAGAGCAAGAAGAAAGATGAAGAATTCGAGAGCAATGACGGCAAGGGTTTGGTTAAGAGTTCTTCTCTCGTTGCTCCCTTTTCTTCAGGTAGGTCTCAAATTCTGTCTCTGATTATATGATATGAATTTTTGTGTGATTGGCAATTTGATTTTACTTTGATTCAAGAAGTTGTAAGAACACTCTGTTTCCTTTGTTGTTGGTTGGAAAGTTTAGCTTAGATTTGAGTTCTTATCCATGGGCTACTGTTGAAGTTTAGTCATCTTGGATGGATAGAAAAATCGATCCTGACTAAGTCAATTGATAGACATTTGAAAAGATCATTTGATAGAATAGAAGATTGTTTAGCAAGAATAAAATTCAAACTTCCATAAATATACTGTTGACATAGTTCTTTCCATTGAAGAGATAAAAGTCACATAAAGAACTTTATTCCAAATCTCAAAGGGAATTGTGGATTATGCTAGTCACATCACTGGGATATGTTAGTACCCTGGTACTGTGAATTCAAGATATTTTGATGACTCGTTACTCAGGACCAACCGATACTTAGTGTGAATCGGGATTAGTATTACGACTTGGGTATAACATCAAATCCGTCTCCATTCGAATTGGGGTTGGTTAAGTCAGTTTGAACTTTCTTTTGGACAGAATTTGTTCCCTATGGATGCCAAAAGTCAATAACTTCACTTCTTAGCCATCTCTTTTCATTTTCTTATTGAGTCTCTATTTTTATCTTTGTTGAAGGTGAAGGAGAAACTGGGAAATTGAGTTTGATGAAAGTTGCTGCTCTTATTGAAAGCATTGCTAAAAGTGGTTCAGTTGTACTTGATCTGAAGCGGAAGTTGATGGATAAGATTGAGTTGCTTCCAATTTCAATTGGGAAATTATGTGATCTTGTTGAATTAGACCTGTCGGAAAACAAAATCATGGCTCTTCCTCCTGGTATTAGTGGCCTTAGGTCGTTAAGGAAGTTTGACATTCACTCAAACCAATTAATAAACCTTCCCGACACATTTGGGGAACTCATCAATCTCACCTACGTCGACCTCCATGCAAACAGGCTAAAATCGCTGCCAGCTTCTTTTGGTAACCTGAAAAATCTTATTTCTCTTGACTTGAGTTCAAACCTATTCACCCATTTACCAGAAATCATTGGGAAGTTGACTAGTTTAACGAAGTTGAACGTGGAAACCAATGAGCTTGAGGACTTACCTTACACAATTGGATCATGTTTGTCGCTTGTGGAGCTACGGCTGGACTTTAATGAGATCAAAGCCCTTCCTGAGGCAATCGGAAAGCTCGAATGCCTGCAGATTCTCACCCTGCATTACAACAGAATCAGAGGACTGCCAACAACAATGGGAAACCTCCCCAAGTTGAAGGAACTGGATGTTAGCTTCAACGAATTGGAAGCAATCCCCGAGAATCTCTGTTTTGCAGTGAGCCTCCGGAAACTGAACGTTGGCAAGAACTTTGCAGACCTCACAGCCTTACCAAGATCTATCGGGAGCCTGGAGATGCTCGAGGAGTTGGATATAAGTGCAAACCAGATACGATTCCTACCTGAGTCCTTCAGGTTCTTGTCAAAATTGAGAGTCCTCCAAATAGATGAAACTCCATTGGAAGAACCACCCAGAGAAGTTCTTGAATTGGGTCCTCAGGTAAAGCCATTACTTTTAACAGTTTCTTAATGGGATTTGTCTCTGCTAAATAGAAGTTTTAACTGACCCAATTGTTCATTTTATTTACTAGGCTGTTGTCCAGTACATGGCTAATGCAGTGGAAAGAAGAGACCTTAAATCTCAACCAACACAAGAGAGGGGATTTTGGGTATGGTTTTGCTCAATATGTTGCACCAAAAGAAAAAATATTCCCAAACACAGGTTATCTACCCAAACACAGCTTTGATTTGTTGATTTGCCATAGAAAATATGGTCTTTCTCAGTTTCTCTGTTGTATAGGGAATGGTTAGATAGCAGAAATTTATCTCTTTTTCTCAAACTTGTACAGAAGTCTTGTTTGCGTGTATAGTGGATGAATTTTGAATTAATTAGTGGGTTGAAATAAAACATCTAAGTGTTTATTATGCTCTTACAAAAGAAACATCAGAGTTTTGGACAAATTATAGATGGCGGGTGCTAAATCGACGTATCGACTAAAAAAAGGTGAGAACCAAATCGATCGCGGGACAAAACCAGCCACTAAACCATAATCAGAACCCAAATCCCAACAAAATCGACCACGTAACAATCATAGTCAAGTTGAATCAATTAAAACTAACAAAATCTACCGATAATTCAAATTGTTCCAACTGACTTGATTTTATATTTGTGCATGTTACATAGATGTTTTATATTTGCAAGGTATATTTGATACTTAGTATGTGATTTTTATGGGGGTCAAATAAGGAAGATGACAGATATTGATAGATATAGAAATTATAGGATAATTTCCATTTGTTAGTTTTAACCTTTAAGGCATAGGGGAGGAATAAACCCAAAATAGTTGCTAAAGGAACCAGGCCTTCCCCAAATTCAGTGATTAAATGGGCTTCAAAAACTCCCTCATGTCCTAAAGCTTTCCCATTTCATAATCTTGGACTGACCATTCTCATTTCTTTTGTAATAGATAGCTTTTGATTTTTCTTTTTGGTTTGGTTTTTGGGGGTCATCTTGTAAAACTGTCTACTTCAGCTGAATGTTAATTTGCAGATTTGATCTTCAGATATGTTCCAAAATTTCCCATCTGTCTTTATATATGATTGGGGGTTTGAGATGGATTTGTCACGTCAAAAATCGGCTTAAAAATGACGAGACAAGTGGGTTAGTTTTTTGATAAGATGAAATCCTTTTGAATCGAAATTAGGCCAAATAAGTGGATGTATTTGTTTAGAA